TGATATCATTGATTGCCTAAATTCAAATAATTATTCGTATTCCTAGCAGAAGCATCTAGCAATTTCATTGATAAATTAATATTAGAAATATTGATTTTATTAGAACAGCTATTAATATTAATATTATTAGAGCTGCCAAAAATGTAGAAATTAAAAGAAATGTAATATTAAACGATTTATGAAATAGCTGAATCACCTAATAATTTGATCAATACATTTCACGATAGATTACTCTCACTAGCATGATAAAAAAATATAATACTTCACATGTTATCAACACAAATAATTTTCCTAATTTAAAACTTTTCTCTTCGCAGTGTAATATTAATAATGAAACAATTTTATATAAAAACGATATTACATCGCAGTGTAATATTAATAATGAAACAATGTCAGACGCTAGATTGTATGTGTATATTATTTATTTTATTCGAATACCAATGCAATTCCTCGGTCCATCGCCAAAAGGTAGAAAACTCATAGGATGTCTACCAGCAACAGCATCGTCCTCAAACCTTTCCGGATCGAATTTCTCTGGTTCCGGATAAATATCAGGATCCGTCTGAATTCCGTACACGGGTACCCATATTTTCATTCCTTTCGGTATGGTAATCTTCGTTCCTTTGAGCGTATAATTCTCCATTGCTTGTCTATTCAGCATCGTCAGTATTGGATACTTTCGTAGTGTTTCTGCGAAGGAATTAAATATCTGTTCCATCAAAACAAATTTACATATCTTTTATTCGCAAGAATCCAATCAATTCAGAGGAAGAATTTACATATGTTTTTGCTACGAAATCAAGTATTTTTATTAATCAAGTCTTGTATTTCATATATTTTTCAAAAGTTCAATTATAATTACACATTGCGCTAAATTTTTCCTCTTTCATAAGTAGACAGAAACATCTTCTATTTATCTAACAGTATTTAATAGATATATTATAATATTTTCAATAGATTTTCTTTAGATTATAATATTATAATAGATTAGATTATATATTATATATTATATTTTTTATATATTATATATTATATATTATAAAACAAATAGATTATAATATTCTAATAATTTTCAATACGTACCTTTGAACACTTTGTCCAAGTATTTCATTTCTTTGATATCTGCGTATGTCAGTGTTCCACCATTCTGCTTGTACGTGTTTCTAATTTCTTGTCGTAGTTTATCTTGGATGTCCTGATTCTGTGCTAATTCGTACAGAGCATGTCCCATCGTCGACGACGAGGTTTCGAATCCAGCGACAAAAAAAACAAACGCTTGCGCAGTAAGCAAGGAGTCGGTTAATTCTATAAATCACGAAATTATTTCACAATGGATGAAATATATCGAAATATATCGAGAAAATTAGAGTGTTATTAGTTTTAAGCAATGCGAGGAATTTGTAACTAATTTTATTTTCAGTAATCAGGTGCTTTCTACGATCTGGTTTCCCTAGTGATATAATATGAATGCGTTGGGTTCTTAACTATAGTAACTTATTTTGGATCACCAAGATTTTGTATTTCGTATTAAATTTCATATTGTGACAGATATTAACAATGGAATTGAATTTAGTAAAAAATTCCAAAATTAGGCGATTTATTTATATTTCTATCGACTTCATTTTCAGTAATACTAGTAAAAAGTTAAATTGCTTACTCACCAATATTGTTCACTTTATCTGGATGTTTCTTCAGTTCCATAAGCATGTTAATCATGTCTGGTCTATTTACGTTATTCTCTTCTCTGTACTGCATCGTGTTTCGCACCAGATCGATGAAGAAATTGTCAATTTCCGTCGATTTAACGAATCTGCCAATTACGTTCGTCAGCGATGGCGCAAATTGCCTAATAAGGTTCCGAATTATCATTTTGAAATTAGTACCGAAAATTTGTTTGCCCATTTTTCGAAATTCGCTGTCTTCGTCTTCAAGTGCATTCATGTTGATCCCAAACGCGCAGCTCCCGATCACGTCGGTCGTGAATTTCGCAGACATTTCACGGCAATCCACTGGCTTGCCATTGTCTGCTACTCTGTCTAGAAATTTTTCTAAATTTCCCGCGCTTTCTACGATAAGAGGAAACATCTCTTTAAGCTTGCCAGATGTAAATATTGGTGATAGTCTCGATCTTAGTGGCCTCCATCTCTCGGACTCCAAAAGGAACAGATGCTGCGACAGCGGC